AGCTGGGTTCCCTCTGCTCCAGGACTGGGACAGGAGCTGCTGCAGCCTGACAAGGAGCTTGCCTGCAGGTAGGAGGTGGCCCCAGTTGAGCAGGGGCTGATGTGAAAGCCAGGCACCTGGCAACCCAAAATAGCCCCTGGACACAGAAGCCAAAAACCGTCCTGTCTGGGTAAAACCCAAACGGGTGGCAACCCTAGGGTGCGGGGGAGCTGGCCATGGGCTTTGCCAGGCTAAGTAGTCTGCTGAGAGAGCAGGACATCAGTAACGGAGCTTCCTGCACAGGATTTACAGAGGCCTCCAATCTCCGCGGGTGGCCCTTTTCACCAGCCCAGAGTTTAATTAACACACACGCAAGGAGCAAAACTCTTTGTTCAGTTTTTTAAAAAAATCCCTAGTAGACGCAGTTTGGCCAAGCAGCCATGGAGGCCTCTCTCCAGCTTGCTGCTGAGTGCTGGTTGCTTGGCAATGCGCCCCTCCCGGCACGGAATTCAGAGCAAGGCTTTTGCCAACACTCCCCTTCCTTTCCCAGACCCCTACACAGCAGTGAGCCCCGGCTCTCCCCCTTTCCCTGTATGGACGGCAACTCTCATTGAGCTTGTGCCCACTCTGACTTATTAAAGGGACTGTCAAGTGCAGGTAGCCGAGGCCCCCGCAATCTGTTTATTTTAATATACACATTCTCCGGCTCTGCTGGAAACCTCGGGCTGGCGCATGAGAAGTGGAGAAGGAAACGAGCAGGGATTTTGGGGCAGCTCTCTGGGTGACACCGCGTTGTGGCTGGATTGGAGAGGAAGAGGCAGAGCCTGGGAGCTGGAGGAAGCACGGGGTTGGATGGGGCATGAGGGTAGCCAGAGCTGATGGTTTTGGGGCAGTTGATAGAGCAGGGTGGCTGGGCCAAGGGGGTGGCATGGGAGGGCCAGTGGGAACTGCGTGAATCTGAAGGGGAGCAGCAGGAAGTGGGGAATAGGACCTCATGCAGAAAGGAACAAGGGGAATGAGAGGTTGGAAGTCATTGTCCTTGAGGACTTCAGTGCTTGGGGATTGGAGATGTTGGGGCAGCTGATGCCAGGGGCCAAGGGGAAGTCAGGGCTAGTTCCCATATTCACCCAGCATTCCTACAAGATGTGCACAGCCCAGGAGCCCACCTCAATCCTGCCCAATGCCTTGATGTCCTGCACAGCTCCAGTGCCCCACGCCCTGCTTACACATCCCTATAGCCTTAATGACTAGACACAGCCCTAGCGCCCATGGCCCAGCACAGCCTTGGAGCCACCAGTTCTTCACATCTACTGCCCACAGCCTGCTTCCTAGTTGCCCACAGTTGGGAGGCTGAGGCAGCTGCCCACCTCTCCTCCTCACTTTCTTTTTAGCAGTGGCTGGCTCTTTCATGGGGGCTGGGAGGAGCAGTGGGAAGGGAGGAGGAGAGTTGGCATGTCATCACCGTGGCTGGCCAAAAGCCTAGTAGGAACCCTGACTGGTGCTGGGCTGGACATGTGACAGCTCAGCAGGGCTAAGGTTATGAGACATGCAGTCAAGTTGCATTGCACACAGTTGAGTCATAAAAAAGACTGTGACTGGCCACAGTCACCTGACATAGTCAGAGCTACAAAGACTAATACCCTGAGTGGGTAGATCACCATGTTCCAGAGATGCTCAGATCCAGCAATTTGCTTCAGCCCGGTGCAAAAAAAAGTGGGGGGTCACTTTTGAAACTTGGCCCCAGGATTAGGTTTGGAACATCTGGGGGTGCTAACTCTTATGACTTTGATTGCAATTCTTGCAATATTTGGTGGCTTTTTCCCTCAAAACCCCAGCTCCTTGGGGCTTGTGATTGTAGGATAATCTCAGCTTTCTTTTTTGCTGTGAGAATTTCTAGCCCTCCAGAGAAAAGATGGAAAATGTGACTCAAAAACCAGCAGGCACATAAAGAACCTAAAATGCATTTTTTTTTTAAATTGTGATTGTTTTAAAATCTCATGATTTCTGGGTCCAGATTCATGATTTATGTTGAATTCCTCTTACAGATTTTGAATCTTAAGATTCCACTTGCTCTGTAGTGGGTGAGTGTCCTTTTTTTGTGCATGAACGTCATGTTTCCCAATAAAATTCCCCCTTCAGGACAGGTGGATTTTTAAGGTCATTTTTACCAATCATTTTGTAATGGCTACCATTAGGGGTTGTCACAGGGATTTGAACTCCAGACCCTAAAATCAAGATCCTCAATCACTCAACTAAAGGACTGACTCCAGTCAGTAGCTGTTGTATGACTTCTGTCCTCTGTCCCAGTCACTGGAGGGGGCTATGTAGCACAGCCCAAACAGTGGATTACAATCAGTTTTCCTGGCTGTGAAAACTCAGTTATTTTCACAAGTCACCATTTAACACCTTTGCTGCCCTCCTTTGGCTTCTCACACATTCACTGTGAGCTTTTTATTTTAATACGAGGGTCGGTGGGCACGACCCAATGCTCACTGACATTGGTGGGAGTCTGTCCATGGACTTCACAGGGTGTTGGATCAGGCCCATGTCAGGTTCTATAGGAAATCCAATTGCAGCTGGAAGGTCAGAACTCCACTGTTGATATGCTGATGTGTGGAGCCCTGCTTTGAGGACAAACACACCACTTGGATAAACGAAGACAAACACCCTTGGCCAAAACTCAAACTAAACACGAGCTTTCTCTGTGGTCTGGGGAAGTGTGACAATCCTCTCCTCCCTTCTCTTCCCAGCGCCCTGGTACCTTACCTATTTGCATTCTCTGTGCTTCCTTTCACATTTTGACCAGGACCTGAAGCAGACATGCCAAAATAGTAGAGATATTTTGACACCATTGAAAGGGAAATGCAAATCTAGCATTGAACTGCTCCAAAAACTGGGGGAATTAAGATCTGGGGTAGTTAGCTAGGGGCCAGAGGAAAAGAACAGATCCAGATTTGGATCTGTACATTTCCCCCAAATAAGTGAGGGTTGCTTGGATCTGAGATTTCAGATCAGGTCACTCTTCTCACATTATGGCTGGCTGGCTGCATACAGGAAGCATACAAAATCTTGCAGAAATCTTGCCAAATTTTGCAGACCCAAGAGGATCAGATGTTTTAGATTATGACTTTTGAAAAAATTCACATTCATACAATTTGGTACTGAGCCAAACTGAACTTCAACTCTAGATCTTTGGAAAAGCTTCCACAGCTACTAATAACTTCAGCTAATTACCTTACTTTAATCCTCTGATTTTAATTAAGGCACATATAAACATTAGTGGGTAAAATGCAGCTGCTATTTATTTCTGATCATATATTTTTCATATTCTGTCTTTTATCTGTGAGATAGCAAAGCAAAAACTTGTGATGTCTATGAGCTATCAATAGAGATCGTCTGTTGCACTGTTTGTCTCCCTCTGTGTGTTAGTACAAAGATGCTATAGGAAGCTTAATTAGAACTATGAAGCTAGCACCATGGGAAACATGGTTTAGGTTTCTCTGGCACAAGATATTAACGAAATGAGACCTTTGGGCCTGATTCTGATCTCCCAGCAGTTGTAAATCAGGAGGAACTCTGCTGAAGTCAGTGGAGCTCCATCAGTCTAAAACTAGTATAAGTAAGAGGAGAATCAAGTGCATGCCCTCCCTCACCCCAGAAACACATACTAGTTAATTAGGAATACATTTTCCTAAATATTTACTGCTGCTTCTTAATTTAAAAAAACCCACCCAACAAATCAAGTGCCAACAGGGCTGGAGGAAATTTCATGAGGTGAACCCCAGAGTTTTCATCCGACAGGTTTTTCTGTGCTGGGTTGGTGATTCCCCCGTAGGTCGTGCAGACATTCACACCCTCCAGTTCCAGTAACTTAGGGCCTGATTCCCACTGACTTCAGTAGTCTTTGGATCAGGCCCCAATGAACTTAGTCAACACTTCCTTTTACCACACACCCACATCTATGAGGAGACCATCTATCAGATGCAGAGGAGCGTTTCCCAGCCAGTATTGACACTGCAATGTTGAGCATAGCTGCCTTCTGACATGAGCCCAATCTATGAAATCCAGATCCAGAACACAACCCTCTCTCAAAGTCTGCGTATGTTTGTACCAGGGGCTTTGATATGGCCCACTATTAAGAGGGGGCAGCTGTAAGTGTGGGATCTGGATTTGGAAGGCCCACCTCAGGTCATATTTACGCTGGATTTCAACCCAACCTTTCTATGCAATTCTGGAACATTCCAATCAGTGCTTTTCCACTTTCAGGCCAAGACTAGAGCTGAACATCCAGAAACTGCATTAGAGAGACTGCTCCTGAGCTACTTCCAGCTGGGACTAGAAATGAAAGCAATCTCATAAGGAACATCTATTCTCTGGAGGTTTCTACAGGCAGAATGGAGAACTGGGACACAGGAAAGCCAGATTCTATTCCCAGCGCAGACACTGACTCATTGTATGACCTTTACTCTTTCTGTGCCTCAGTTTCCCCAGGTTTAAAATGGGGATAATATTGTTCAGTCCCTTTTTCAAGTTCTCTGAGACCTATGCTTGAATGAGTGCAAAGTATTGTTAACTATCATCATTTTGGCTGAACAGCTACGGTAATGACCTAGAAATCTACGGCGGTGGATTTCCTGCCTTTAATTTTTCAGTTGTGAGGTAATTATTATTTATGAAGCTAAGTATTTATTTCTAAATGATTTTGGGGGAAAAAACCCTAAATTCAAGCATCTTCTGGACAGGGCCGGCTCTAGGCACCAGCAAAACAAGCAGGTGCTTGGAGCTGCACATTTCTAGGGACGGCACTCCGGATTTGGGGAAGGGGTTGGGAAAGGCCGGAGCTGGTGCGGGGGCACACAAAAAAGCGGGGGCGGCCAAAAAATTTTTTGCTTGGGGCGGCAAAAATCCTAGAGCTGGCCCTGCTTCTGGATTAATTTGACATGGGGAGAAAACCAACAATTAACGATAATGAGCAAGAAAAAGGTTAGGATCAGACTCAGTAGCATCAGATGCATCCTCACCTTTAACTTCAGTAGCTGCTGTGCCATTTGACCATGCAGTCCACTTATTCCTGTGCTTGCCAATTTCCTGGACTTTGCATATATAATGGCCTTGATCCGTTGGCTGGAGATTCAGAATTAGGAATTTGTACGTTGCTCCGTGTCTCTCTTTGAGAAGGCGAAGTCTTTGCTTGTGGAAGCGGTGGGTGTAATTTCCATAGTACTGGACAATCCCAAATTTAGTCATTTTGATCATCAGATACTCCTGTGTGGGTGAGAGGGCAAAAACCCATCGGACAGCAAGTAAGTTGTCTGTCCGTCTCTTCTGTGAAACGTGACAATAAAGAGTAGCATTGTCTCCCTCGGCGTATTGCACTGTCGGTCCTGGAGAGACTGTCACATTCAGAGCCTCGCAAATATCTGCAAAGGAGAGAATGGATCATGAGACTCTTCCATGCATGGCAGCACAAAAGCACCTGAATCAGCGAACAGTTAGATTGGCAGGTGACTCTGAGGCAGATAAATTGAGGTCTGTGCAGGTGAGTTTATAAAGACTTTCTGATGAGCTTTTAAACCCTGAAATCTTGGGTGCTCTCCATGGATATTAAAGATCCCATGACATTTATTTCAAGGCATTTGCCCTAGTGTTCTTGCCTAAACTTTCCCCATGTAGGAATTGCCAGACTGGGATCAGACTAGTGCTATGTCTAATTTGCTATTGTGCCTCCAGCAGTGGCCAGTACCAACTGCATCAGAGATAGGTGGAAGAAATCCCGTAATAGATAGTTATGGCATATCTACACATACAGGCAATTGCTTCCTGACCTTGTCAGACAGATAGTGCTTGACTTATACCTTGGAGCACGAAAGATTATATTCCTATTTCTTCCTTTCTAATAGAACTATAGATGTTCTCATTATCTATTATCTACTTTTGAAGTCTACAAAACTCTTGACCTCAACCTTGTCTTGTGGCAATGAGTTCCACAGATTGTCTCCAATGTGTTATCGAATAGTGTGCTGCCCTCTACCCTAGTTGTAGCTGTATTTCAGCAGCAGACAAATGGTCCTTGCAGTCCCCTTTGCAAAGTACTTTGGGGTCCTTCAGGATGAAATGCACTTTGAAAATGTGAAGTATTATTCTGGCCTCTCTGCCTCATTTGTACAAACAATAATGGCATATACGCAACCAAGGGCAGAATGGCTCTCTCCCTTCCAGTTACTTTTTCAGCACATCAGCAAGGAACAGGATAACCAAGAGAGGATGAGCGTTTGGTAGAGGATTTTGTTTGACATCAACTCCTGAAACACAAACATATACTTATCTTCAAAATAAGCAAGTCAAGTATTTCCATCTACTGTTGCAGGAGTATTGGAAGTAGAGGTGCTAGTTCTAAGCTGTGAAACTGAGTGTTGTGCTGTGGTTATATATTTTATTTTAGTAGGCTATGACTTCAAATAAAGCATTACATATCACAGATACTTAAATGTAGACCCTTTATTCAAAAAGTAGGGTGGCTTAGTGAATCAAGCACTGAATTAGGACTCAGGTGATGTGCATTCTGTTGGTGGTTCCGGCTGCTGGCTGACCTTGGGCAAAGCATGTCCCCTTTCTGCCTCAGTTTCCCCATCTGTAAAATGGGGGTATTGATACTGACCTCCTTTGTAAAGTGCTTTGAGATCTACAGCTGAGAAAAGCTAGGTTCTGCTATTACAGTAACGGCTCCAAACACTACAGTAAAACCATGGATTCCTGTACTGTTTTGGGCCTTTTTTATAGACCATTCTCCTTTTTTGTGTTTGGTTGGTTGTTTTAGAAAATAAGGGCCATTTAAAAAAGAAAATGAGAGGAAAATAAAAATATCATCCTTATTATCCCATAATACTGAATGGTTCTTATTTGAATTGATTTGTAAGAAGATGTATGACCCAGCTAGGCATAGTCTGGATCAGCTATATTAATTGAGGGATCATGATAACTGTCCATAAACACAGAAAATTGTAAATCCCAAGGAGAGAGGTTATTTTGGATTGTGCCGGGGTATGAGTAGAAATAGCAGCTTGCAATAAAGAAAAGGAAATTTAGGCTGAATAGCAGGAAAAGCCTGCCTGCAGTGTGGTGATGATGGTTTATTACTTATTTGTCTAACACTAGCAGAGCACTAACTAGGTGCTTTACTGTGAGATATGGAAATAGGCTTGCTATCTCAAAAAGCTTACACCCTCAATGAGATCTTTAAGGTTGTGGATAACGCTGATCAAAAATGAGAAATTTAGTTTCATTAAAAATATCAGGGCTTTTTCTACATTTTCATGACCTATTTATCAAACGTTATTAAATATTTGAATTTTTTGGTTGACCAAAACCATGTTTTTTCATCAGTTGAATGCACTATAAAACGTTATTGGAAATTATTCAAACGTCCTGACATTTTTCCGGACAAACCATTTTTATGATGTCCTTTTTTGATATGTAAACTTTTTGTTCAAAAAATGCTGACCAGCTCTAATTGTGGCCTAGTTTCCCAGAGTAAGAGACTGTTGTTTGAGTAATTTAAAACTAGACAGCACACAATGCCAAAAAATACACAACAGAGTACATAAAAGAGGAGTTCAGATACTGCCGGTGGCAGAGACCAGCATAAGCAATTCAAACTGCTTCTCCAATTTCTCTGATCACTTCTACCTGATTATTGGCCCCAGTATAAAAGTTTTCTTTTCTTTTTTTATGTCCATGAGTCCAAGTTTTTGGCTTTTTGATAGGTTTTGGGGTTGTTCCAAAGAAATGATCAAATTCAGCTCTCCTCTCCCAAGCAAGAAAGCCCATAGACTCTAGAGCACCAATTGCATGGGTAAGGCATGTAGGATTTGGTCCAAACACTCAACAGCAGACTCTTTTTCCTTAAACTTCCTGCTGTTGCTATCACCAGAGCTGCTCCGCAGGGGTAGCACTAGGGAGAGCTTTATGTATTTGAAGCCACTAGCATTTTAATCACCGTGTCAGCTAATCCTGCGGCAAGCAGAGTTAGGTAATGCTGTATTTAAAACAAGCAAACATAGTGACTGATGGAGCCAGTGGGGCACCAGTGGAGCCAGCATGATAGTTGTAACAGTAGGAGATTTGGGGAAACTGAGGATATTGTAGACACATTCAGTAATGAAAGCTCTGACCCAAAGCACATTGAAGACAGTGGAAGGCCTCCCACTGACTTCGGTGGGTTTGGCTCAGCCCCCAAGCGAAGGATACTCCTGTAACAGGTTCCTTTCCAATAGAGGAGAATCCTCCATCAATTAGAGAGCAGCAGACCTTCACGTGCACACAGTGCTGAGTGTGCAGACTTTACACAATTGCTGCTTCAAATGGGGAGCAATTCGGGAAGACAGGGAATGAAAACTATGTGGCATGGATGACGCTGCAGCACAGACAGAGCTCACCACAAGAGTTTAGTCTTGCTGTTCCACTGCCTGAGAAGGGAACTTATAGTACATGGAAGAAGTAAAACAAACAAACAAAAGAGTCAAATATTCAGGACTCATTTCATACATTCATAGATTCCAGGGCCAAAAGGGACCACTGTGATCATCTAGTCTGACCTCCTGTATAACACAGGCCAGAGAACTGCTCCACAATAACTCCTAGAGCAGAGTTTTTAGAAACACATTCAATCTTGATTTAATAAATGTCAGCGATGGAGAATCTACTGCGACCTTTGGTAAGTTGTTCCAAATGTTAGTTACTCACTGTTAAAAATGTACGCCTTATTTCCAGTCTGCATTGTCTGAATTGCAACGTTCCTAATTGTCAAGGGCCTTTGTCTGGTCTAGCTTTATTTACAACTGGCTGCTGTAATTGTCAATGCTTTAGTCTCATTTGTCTCCTTTGGCTATCCTAAACGCCTTTTTCCCTGGCTCGCTGGGAGGCAGCCTGGGATAGTGGATTAGTTGCAAGACTGTCTACACTAGGGACATCTGGCAAAGATTTCCCCCTGCTGCTAAGGCCAGGTCTACACTTACAAGCTTACAGCAGCACAGGTGTACCGATGTAGTTGTGCCACTGTCAAAGTGTTTGTGTAGCTGCGTTATGCCGACGGTAGAGAGCTCTCCCTCTGACATAACACTGTGCACACGAGTGCTTGGGCCAGCAAATGTATGTCACCCGGGGGAGTTTTTTTCACACCCCTGAGCAACAATAATAAAATATTTAATAAAAATAATTAGTATGGGGCAAGAAAGATCACAACAAGCAACCAGCTGTTTTCAGTTGGACTGAGATTTTTTTTAATTTTCAACAGTTAGGAGGCCCCTCTCTCAAAGAAAACTTCTCAGCCTAGCTCCAGAATTTGGCCTGAACCTCCATTCATCCTTCAAAACTTTGACAGGCAGATGCAGATCCAGAACTCAAAGCCAGACAAACAAAAATCCCTCCTTGCAATATCCCCACACTGTGAAGTTTAGGTTTGGAGTGGTGTGCGCATCAGAATATTAATTCTTGTTAATCAGCAGTGCCCAGGTGAACCCCATATCTGGGAAGCATAGAAGTCACCGGTAAAAATTACAAAAGTGCCTAAATCCCATTTTCAGAAAGGACTTTGAGTCTCATTGAAAGTCTGTGGACTTTCTCATTGGACTTAGGCTGCTACATCGCTTAGATGCATTTGAAAATTGTCCACCAAATCTCTCACTGCTACAGATTCACCTCTAGTCACACAAGAAATGTTTTCATGTTTTTTTCTTAAATTCAGTGGAAACATGATCTTTTATTAAGCCCTCCCACCCCCTCTGCAGGAAGCAAGCAAGGCTTATGTTAGTGGAACTGAGTAGAGAAGTCAAAATGACAAGTCTAGTTTCAATTGCCCAAGCTGAGAGAAATGCAAAAAGTTACCAGGAAACCTAATGTAAAGTAAACTAGAGGTTTAAAATTCCTGAAGCTTTAGTACTGTACAAGGTGTTAGTAAAGAGAGTAATTTTGTTGTGGTTTTTTTAATATACTGTGAGCTGTATGTTGTTCCTGCCCTGTTAAACAGAAAGTGACAATTGTCACAAACTATATATTCGGGGGAGTGGGGTGGGGAGGGTTTTTAACCCTTTCAGTGTCTTTTCCTTTTCCTCCCGGTTTTGTTTACGAAGTTGAGGCATTGTCTGGAGTTTGGGGCCGAGTATCTGCACCAGCTTCCAGGGTCTGAACTGATCGGAGCCGAAGCGGCCCGGAGCCGAGAGAGAGCCTGAAGAAATGACTGCGAAAGCGCAGGGACCCCGCTCGGGTTACAAGCGGGTCCCGGGGCAGGAGTCGGATCAGCGGGCTCGGGCTGGGGCTGGGCTTGGGGGATCGAACAAAAACCGTGCCAAGCAACGGGCCGAAGTCAGCCCGGCCCCGGGGTGCGCGTCTCGGGGCGGCGCGGCCCCCCTTTCCTGGGCCGTCCGCGGGGTGGGCTCGGGGCAAAGCGCAAGGGGGCTGTAACTTCTCCTTGAACAGGCGCCCCGCAACCCCCCCAGTTATTTAACCTGAGACGCAGGTTTCCCCAGAGCCAGCGCGGGGGACAGGGGTCCGCTGCCGGGGGGAGGCAGGTTTTTTTTGGGGGGGAGGGCAGAGATTCCGCCCCCGCTCCCCACCGCTCCTTACCTGGGGTGGGCGATTGGGCCAGCAGCGCGGCCAGGGCCAGGGCCAGGAGGCGCATCGCCCACAGCGCACAGGGACCCTTCTGTTTCCTCTCCTAGCCTGAATCTCGCCTCTCCTCCCCCTTCCTCTCTCCTCCCTCCTTCTCCCCTTCCCCTCCATCTCCTCCCCTCCTCCTTCCCGACTCTTCCCCTTCCCCCTCGTCCCGGATCCCAGCCTCTTTCCTCTTGCTCTCCTCGCCCCCGCCCTCCCAACAACTCCCGCTAGCCGGGGGAGAGCGGTGGAGTTTCTCCAGTCCCCCTGGGGAGGTCTGTGGGATCCCTCCCCCAGGACCTGCTCTGTGTGGGGGGTGGGGGAAGAGAGCGGAGATCTCCAGCAGTGGCTGTGGGACCCATCCCAGGAGGGTAACTGGGGATCTGCTCTCCCAGGACGCAAAGGGTCTGGGGAGAGCTCCCTTCACAGCTGAGGCTCCCTGCTGGCGCCACGGTATTTGGAAGGGGAAGAGGGGGCGTTTTTCCTGCCTCCAGCCCTCTCTCCATTGTTGGAAGAGTTTGAAATCTTTCCCACACCGCCCCTGGTTTGCCCTCAACACTGATGGAGTCCAGCTGGAGATCCCAGCTTCTGTAGAGTTCACTAGGTGCATTCCCGGTCACAGGTCTAGTCCAGGCCCATCTCCATTTTCTTGGTGTGACAGGGACCACAACTACCACGGTAGTTGGCGGGGTAGCTCGAACCTGGGACCTCTGAAGCTAAATGCAGGAGCCTCTACTGCATGAGCTAAAAGTAACTGGGCTCTTAGTTAAGGCTGTAGCAAACTCAGTCTCTAATTGGTGGGGGTGCCACTAGAGGGGACAGAACACCACACCCAGGAGGTGTGCGGGTTACAATGGCACTCAGCCTGACTGCAGCTCCCTGGGGAAGGTGTAAAGCCCTTTGTTTTCATGTTTTACTGACTTTTACCCCCCAAATTCCTGGGTTTTACCAATGCTATTACTTGATTTTAACTGACTTTTCACCCGCATTTTGGACCACTCAAGTACATGAAAATACTGATTATGTTAAGAAAATGCAATCCATTACGTTTGGTAGATGTGTTTATGCTGATAATAAATTAGTCTAAGTCTAAATCCGTGGCTGCCTGTTAAAGAAGGCAATGTAGTGGAAGACACACAGGGGCATGCATCTATGTACACACAGTTAATGTGTAGTTCATGAAATAAACAGCACTATTAAACTGCTTTTACTTTCAGCACCCTGATATTTCTCTATTTGTTGCTTTTTAAACTGTGAAGTTAATTTTTGGTACCAATTTTCAGCCGCTTTTTATCTTTTGTAATCAGCTGATAAATTCCTGGGAAATTTTAAACAAAAACCAAAGGGCCTGACATCATGTGCTGTCATTTAGAGCTGTGCAGGGTGGGTCTAAAACACAACCCTCTTGGGTTGCACTGGACAGGGTTATAAATGGCAACACAGGATGCAGGGCAAGGGACCCAGATGGACCTTCAAAGGTATTTTGGTTTGAAATCAATAGCCATTAGGTTCCTAAACATCTTTGAGGATGGGGCCTAAGTGTCTTAAAAAAATGATCAAACTGATCAGTCATCTGGTATCATCATCATCAGTGATCCCACAATTTGAGGATGATCTCTACAAATCGTCTGGTATAGCAGGATGCGCTTAGGGTTTCTCACCACATAGATATTGCACTGATTTAGTTAAATTCATACGTTCATAGAGTTTATGGCCAGCAGGGACTAGTTAGTCTGACTTCCTGCATATCACAGACAACCCCTGGGGTGCAATCTTTTGTCTGGAAATTTTTTAAAACTGATTTAGAGTGGCTACTGTCAATGCTTCACATGCTGTGTTGAGGGGGGAGCTGACAGTGTCCATCTGTGCATCCAGAGGTGCTCCAGGTGATGAAGATGTTTGAACTCCTGTGGTACAACCAAAGGATTGCCAGGTGTCCAGTTTTCGACCGGAACGCCTGGTCAAAAAGGGACCCTTGCAGCTCCAGTCAACTGGGCCATTAAAAGTCCAGTTGGCACGGGGTTGGCAGGCTCCCTACCTGGCTCCATGAGGCTCCTTGGAAGCGGCAACATATCCCTTGGCTCCTTGGCGGAGGGATGGCCCTGGGGGCTCCGTACGCTGCCCCCACCCTGCTCCGAGCATCAGCTCCACAGCTCCCATGGGCCATAACCGCAGCCAATGGGAGCTGCAGGGGCAGCACCTGCTGGCAGAGGCAGCATGCAGAGCCGCCTGGCCGCATCTCCGCCTAGGAGCCGAGGGACATGTCGCCACTTGCAGGGAGTCGCCCAAGGTGAGCACTGACCAGAGCCCACACCCCGAAACCCCTCCCATGTCCCAACCCCCTACCCTAGCCCTGAGCCCCCTCCCGCTTCCAAACTCCATCCCAGAGTCTGCACCCTGAAACCCCTCCCATGCCCCAACCCCCTGCCCCAGCTCGGAGCCCCCTCCTGCACCCCAAACCCTCAGCCCCGGCCCTACCCCAGAGCCCGCACCCCCAGCCAGAGCCCTCCCCTCCCCAACCCCTTGCCCCAGCCTGGATCCCCCTCCCACACCCTGAACCCCTTCATTTCTGATCCCACCCCAGAGCCTTGACCCCCGCAGCCCAGAGCCCATACCAGCTTCCATACCCCAATCCCCGCCTCAGCCCGGAGCTGGTGCCAATCAGAGAGGAGCAGCACCAGCTGGCTCAATGGGGAAAAAAATCACAAGGTTCCACCCTAAGGGCCCAATCCTGCTGGATGCTGAGTACCCTTGACTACTCCTGATTTCAGTGGAAGTAAGGGGGTTGGGGGGGGGGGGCGGGCGGGCGCAGATACCATGGCTGAGTAGTCTGCAAAGTGAAGTGATTTTTAGCCACATGATGTCAAGGTCTTTGGTCCACATCCTTTAGCAATTATTAATCACGTTTATTGTGGTGGTGCCTAAGAGCTAGGCGCTGGGCAGAATAGCAGATGATCCCTGCCCCGAAGTGCTTACAGTCTAAACAGATGTGGCCCCTGCAGCGCAGGGAGAGGGGGTCTCGCAGAGTGAGCAGTGCGATGGCCGTAAGTGGCCTGTTAGTGCCATGATTTGGGGTTGGGGAGTTAGTTAGGAGGGGATCAGCGAAATGGAAAGGGAAGGGAAGGAGGTGAGGCGGATGGGGCAGGGTATGGGGGGCAGGTGTGGAGTGACACTCAGGTGAGGAAGCTGCGAGGGAGGGGAGGGTTAGAGCAAACAGCCTCACAGCACAGGGCAGAGACAGTCGTGTCACAACTGTAGAAAGTTTTCTGCATGTCCAGCACACCTTGCTTTGGCACCATCTCTGCTTCTGCTCCGACTGGCTGGCTCAGCAGCTCTTCTACCTGCAGTTCCCCCCAGACCACATGGTGGGGAAGGGAAGGCACCGTCTGGGACTTAGTGCCCCCAGAGTTGGACAGGGGGCTGCACAGTTCTGGGTCCAGGACTGCCCTGATTAATACCCTGTGCAGTCCCATTGACTTCAGTGGAGGACTCATCAGATCCCTGTGTTCTTCTTCCCTCATCTCCGGCCAGCCCCACCCTGACACAGGGCTCCTCCAGGCCACCCCACCAAAATGGAGAGACAATCTGTTTATGGGGGGAGAGGGGCAAGGCTGGCAGTCTCTCACTGCCCCTACCCTCTCCCCATCTGAGGGTGTTTATCACTTGGCGGCCCACAAATATCCAGAAGTGTCAGTTAATCCTTTTATTGCCAGTTGTGTAGGATCACATCAAATGTTAGTGTTAAACCTGTGTGACGCGTGCATGGTACAAGCCCGTTGGAATCCCGGCTTCCCTGCTTAGGGTAATTAGCTGCTCCATGCCAGAGCCAATAATCTTCTAGTCAAAGCAATACGTGTCTGTTTTATGAAAATTGGGCACCTCGAGGGACTGACCCTGAGATGTGCTGAGCAATTCCTGAGTACCCTTAACTTCCATCAACGCTGCTGGGTAGTGAAGGCCACTGCAGGACTTAAATCCTCAAAGGCATTGAGGTGCCTACCTCCCATTGAACTAAATAGCTTTGAGGCTCTAGGTGTATATGGCCCTTCGTTTTCAGTTTGTATTTTATTTAATTTTTTTCTGGGAATTTATCAGTGTTTATTATCACAATAACAAAAACAGGCGACCATTAGTGCAAAAAACTATTACTAATTTTTCTGGGTAAATATCAGGGTTTATTCTGGTGGACAGAAAGTTGGCAGGGAAAGTAGGCAGTAGATTAATGCTTTGAATTCCGTTCATCAGTGCGGTTTGCTGCAGAACTAAAACAGAACTCAAAACACAATGCCACCTCTGAGTTTAAGAAAACACTATATCCCTAATCCCCAAATAAAAGTTTTCATTTGAATAAACAGTTTACTGTTGTAGACTTGGAACTATTAGCCTATATTTATATTTAATAATTGGGCCAAACCATGTGCAGTGTGTACACTCAACTTCATCCTTTTCTCCTGTTTGTTTTTTTAAAACTTTTGAATACTTCCTTGAAACGTATTCTCATACAGATTTTCATTTTCTTCCCATTTGAATGTGTCAAATCTTTAAACCGTTATCTGCTTACAGCTTGAAACATGTATGTGGTGGGTGTGAGATTCATCAGTACGTTCAGATGTGCATGCACTTCATAGCTTGCGCGTGTGCCTGTTTCTTTATTGTGTCTAGCTAGACTAACACATAGCCTTACATCAACAGGCAGCTTTGTGTGTACACACAGACTAATTAAGGTATTATCATAATACATATATCTCATCCAATGTTTTGTATATTCCTAATAAAACAAGTTTTTTTAATACATTTGAATGATACAAAAGAAGGGTGAAAATTGAAAAAAAAATTTTTTGTAAAACCCAGGAATTTTTCAGTAAAAATCGGTTTAAACGGAAAACGAAGTAGCTTACTAATGTGCTATATGGTTGGCTGGGCCATTGGCCAGTCTGGTTCTTTCAGTAATGGTCTGAATATGCATTAATTGCCATCACAGTAGATCAACATAGTTGCCCAAATGAACGCCCCATGTTGGTGGCATACCAGAGAGAATTACAAGGCAGGAAGGTCCTGAGCACAGAGGCACTGGAATTAGCATTACGAAAAGTTAATACACAGGGAATTCAATGGGAATCTGTCAATCTAAATCTTCCCCTTTTTCATGAGAATTTCCAGGACTTTGATTCCATGGCATCAATGGGGCTGAGGTTAATAACTGAGCAGTGAGCAATGTAAACTTTGCTGTCCCAGGCCTATAGGCAGCATGATCGATGGCAGCATTTAAATCCCCCAAAGCTGTGGGGCTGTTTTGTTTGGGGGGTTCAGTAGGTCCATTGCAGAGGTAGACATCAGCCATAAATGCAGACCTTGCTGAGGGTATTAGACTGCACGGTC